ATGAGTAACAATGAAAAAATTGGTTTTTTTAAATTTACGTATTTGACATTTACAAAAACCTCTGAATATTTCCAAATAAATATTCGAAACACTTTGAAAATAAGTCACCAACTCCTCCGCATCTTCTCAAATATTGATGAAATTGTTTCCCAATCCACTATGAAAGACAAGCTGAAGCGTAACTGATAGGATTTAAGCAGAAAAACTTTAATTTTAAATTTTTTTAAAAAAAAGACCCTAACCAATGAAAGCGGTTTGACCATTATCATTCCTCAATCGGATGACAAAGTAACGAGAGGAATCAATAACCGGTTCTATACAAATTCCGGGATACTCATCAATAGGACAGTTTGCAAACAACTGCCCAGTGGTTTTATCTTCTAAACGAAGCTCTAGTCGTTTGCCTACAGCAACCAACCTCATTCGCCCAGTCCAATTTGGTTCATCCAGCTTCCATTCGGCTGCCCTGAAACAAAAATTATAAAAAACAATCGTGCAAAAAATAATTCCAGATCCCACATCTTCAAGCAAATTTGCAGAAACTAATGAACTGAAGTGTACCGTTAAAAATTCTAAATCGTTCATTTAAACTAGTCATAACAACTCTATACTTTTCCTCAAACTGACTAATGGCCTGATGTCCATTACCCACTACCTCCAATATCCAGATACCTTTTAAAGTCCGTCTCAACAACAGGTAACTCGTTCTACTCAAATATATCCCTAGAATGTTATGAAAGCAGTATTATTTCTTAATACGAAAAAGCCGTTGAAAAATAATTGCGCATGGTAGCTGACACAAGTGCGATTACCAGTATAAAAAACTAAACAAACTAATAAATACTAATAAATCTTCGTACTACTTGTAAGGAACAAAATACTTCGGAAAGCTATGCCCTACATCGCATAAGCAAACCTTTAAAAACTTCGCGCCTTCTCTATTTATGCTTTTATAGCTTCTTTCAGACGATTGTATCATTCTCGGATAATCGGGAATAATATTCCCTTGACTTCTGTGTTGAAAGTCCAACGATAGAACAATTTCACATAAAAACTACAAAATTTGTTCCAGAACAGATTGCAGACTTACTTTTGTCAGCAATGTAAACTGAATAAACTTCAAACATACTTGTCTTTGTTTCTTCGGTTTATAAAAAAAGCATTAATTTTGAAAAAATTGCAAAGCTTTAGTTGAACTAAAAATTTCTTTTTAAATCTTTATCAACAAGTTAGAAGAAATATTAAAAAAGTTTTAATGATTATTTTCCACTATTTATTCAGATACCGACACTTGAATTCAACGCAAACTTGCCTAATAAGCTGCACCACAGCACAGGCTATATATTTTCAATAAGCTAGCACAAATTATTTTTCAATGTCTTCCGTACAGAACGCAGCATTTTTAAGAATCCAATAAGTAATCTTCATAATAATACATCTCAGAGGGCTACTAAGATGATCAGTCTTTTGAAGATCTAAATTCGAGATCTAGGGCACAGGCGGTCTATCGTGGCGACTGTAACTCTAGAGGCATACGTTTCATCGCTACAATAAGACTTAAATCAGAAATAAAATATACCCGTAAAACCGCTACATATACGTCTCCATCAATACTTCCACAGGCGAAATGATTCAGAGAACAAAAAACAAGGAATTACCGCAGAAAAATTTGTAATAAGTGCTTCCGAAAAAGTAAAAGACTAAGAAAAATAATTTAGAGAAAAATTCCGTAAGAATAAGAAAAAAGATCCCCAAACAGAAAACTTCTGGGCAAAGTAAACGCGCTTTGCTGTCGTAATAAACACGTAATTATTCACATAATTTGAAAAAAGTGTATTTTCAAGAAAAGAATTACTGAAGATATGAAGGTCAAACAATCCATAAGAATCGGTTTCATTCTTTTAGCCGACGACTATTCTCGGAACCTTCGAGTTCCCTTTCTGCTCTCCTTTTCCTTTGAGATAATTTAAAAGCATGTGAGAACTTTTTAACGCAAATTTTGAGAGTACACAAATCATCAATTAAAATTCGCTTTCGCTCAAGTTTCCCCCTATTGCTACCCAAAATGAAAAGAAAAAGGTAAAGCAGGAAATGCACCATATTATTAAAAAATATCCAGACAAAATTTGCTTGGTATTTTAAGCTTATAATTTTATAATGGCCTTCCTCGATTACAAATAAAAGAAAAAAAAGAAACCTATAGCCTCTATTGTTGGCTATTGGTGGAATGCGATAGACGAAAACTTCTGGCTTCACGAGGCATACGCTTTCGTATTCTTCTGACATCCAGATGAAAAATATCAACTTTCCGTTCAAGAATATCCTTAAAAAAACTTTGTGGCAACAATAATTACTAATTTTACAATTCACTGACGTTCAAACGTGCTCGAACGGTCGCTCCAAAACAAATTAGGAAGAAATATCGAAAAAAAATAAATAAAAAATATATAATAAGAAAACTGTAAACAGCGAGGTACTGCTAGTCCTGCACATACTATAAATGGTAAAGAAATGGAAAAAGCAAAGAAAATAAAAACTCCGATGTTATGGCGATGCGAAATGCAATTATTCAAAGAGCGTAATGCGGTATTATAAAGAAACAAGTACAAGAGGAAAAAAAAAAGAAATACAAAACAATGAATAAATTAAAAAACTGTTCGTTCATTCAAGGTTTTAACAATGACAGTAATACAGAAGCAAAATATAAAAAAAATCAACATTTCACCATTAAATTCAATGACAGGCAGTAACGTCGATAATTTCCAAAATTATTTCGTGTTTAGTTAACTCATATATAAGCAACACAATCATAATTAAGGATATACCAATACTTTTATGTGTATTAATATAGTTTTGTAACCAAAATCTACACACATCTAAAGCACCTGAGAAAAAAAAGAATAGTTGCAATGAAGAAAATTCAATGCAAAAAAAAAAAAAAAAAAAA